GCCACCAAGCCCGGCTACTTTTTTTTTTTTTTTTAATGGAGATAGTCTCACTGTTTCCCAGACTAGAATGCAATGGCATGATCACAGCTTACTGCAGCCTCAACCTCCCAAGCTCAAGTGACCCTCCTGCCTCAGCCTCCAATTTGTTAGGACTATAGGCATGCACCACCATAGCCAGCTAATTTTCTATTCATTTTTGTAGAAATGAGGTCTTGCTATGTTGCCCGGGCTGGTCTTGAACTCCTGGCCTCAAGCAGTCCTCCCACATTAGCCTCCAAAAGTGCTGGGATTACAGATGGGAGCCACTGCATCCAACCTAGAATTCTGGAAATTCTTGATCCACACCATTGGATTAGTATGCATTGAGACAAAATGAGCTTTATATAGTTTAACATTTTCAGTGTCTGTTTCTTTTTTTAATTGGAGTCTCACTCTGTTGCCAGGCTGGAGTGCAGTGGCACACTCCCGGCCACCACAGCCTTGACCTGCTGGGCTCAGGTGATCCTTCCACCTCAGCCTTCCAAGTAGCTGGAACTACAGGTGTGCGCTACCACACCCAGCTAATTTTTTTATTTATTGTAGGGATGAGGTCTCACCATGTTGCCCAGGCTGGTCTTTTGTGTCTGTTTTAGTGTAGTACAGTTGGGAACATCTGGAGATACTATTGTAAAATAAAATATTTCTTTAATATGTCAGACAGTATATTGCTTTATCCAGAGTGAAGGCAGTGCCATAAAAACCATACTTCTTTGTTGGCAATGGTATCAGTTTTTAATCTTAATGTAATCTATCTGGAGAAAAACATTTAGGGAAAAATTAGCCCCTATATCTGAGGGTACCATATATTGATTTATTTACTCTATACCTCATGGGACCCTGATGCTTTACAAACATTAGTTTACCTATTACAAACATATATTCCAAGCTCTGCTACTTGGTGACCTTTGGCAAATTACTCAGCCTTGCTGGGCCTTAATTTCCTTATATGTAAATAAGGAAGCAGGTGACATCTATGGTCCTTCTTAACACTAACGTTGTTATCCTAGTAATTTTCCATAAGCCATTTCTCTCTCTCTTTTTTTTTAAGTTGGAGTCTCACTCTGTCACCCAGACTGGGGGCCAGTGGTATGCTCATGGGCACCTCAGGCTCAACCTACTGGGCTCAGGTGATCCTTTCACCTCAGTCTTCCAAGTAGCTACAACTACAGGCACATGCCACCACATCCGGTTAATTTTTTGATTTATTGTAGAGATGAGGTCTCACCAAGTTGCCCAGGCTGGTCTCGCACCTGTGGGCTCAGACAATCCTCTCACCTTGGCCTCCCAAAGTGCTGGGAATATAGGCATGAGCCGCCGTGCCCAGCCTCCCATTTTTCCTATTTCCTAACTCTGTGTGTGTATCCATGTGTCTGTGTGTCTCTGTGTGTGTATGCATATGTCCATACATACACACACATACTTCACTTAAAGCCTATTTGATAGGAGGACATGTTGTACATAAATAATTCAGAAATTTTAAAGCTGTGCAGTGTGAATAGACTCACATATATTAAAAATGCTGAGTAAGGGCCAGATGTGGTGGCTAATGTCTATAGTCCCAGCACTTTGAGAGGCCAAGGTAGGACGATCACTGGGACCCAGAGTTCAAGACCAGCCTGGGCAACATAACCAGACCATGTCTCTACCAAAACAAAACCAAAAAAATGCAGAATGAAGATTATTTCTCCACCTAAACTCTCATAACAAATTCTGAAGACACTATGAATGAGCATGGTAGAAGATTTTATTTTATTTATTCATTTATTTTTTGAGTTGAATTCTCACTCTGTCGCCCAAGCTGTAGTACAGTGGACACACTCACGACTACTGCAGCCTCGACCTGCTGGGCTCAGGTGATCTTTCCACCTCAGCCTTCCAAGTAGCTGGAACCACAGACACATGCCACCATGCCAAGTTACTTTTTTGATTTGTTGTAGAGATGAGGTCTCACCAAGTTGTCCAGGTTGGTCTCAAACCTCAGGACTCAGGCAATCCTCTTGCCTCTGCTTCCCAAGTTGTTGGGATCACAGATGTGAGCCACTGTGCCCAACCTAGAAGATAACATTATCAACTTAGATGTTATGTTGAATTTGTGTCCCTCATTTAATCACATCTTTTTTTAAGTCTGTCAGCATAGTCACTTATTAGCTTGTAAGATGTTATGGGAGGTACTTAATCTCTCCAAACTCAGTTTAATTATTTATAAAGTAGATACTATAATTGGATCTTCCTGAGAGTTTTGTGGACACACATGTAATGAGTTGACAAATGTTAGCCATTGTAAATACTGTCAGGTTATCATTTGTCTTTTGGAGAGCTACATATTTGCAGATCTCAAAAAGTTGACAGTAGGCAATAGGCCATGTTTTAGAGGTGAGTTTAATTGAAGAATTTGTTGAAAATTATCATTTTCTCAGACTATTCGTTAGTGATTGAATGGTGGCTGATGCATGGCTTATTGGAATAATAAAATTAGGGTGGTGCAGACAACTAGTTTCCATGTTTTTATTAATGTAATGTTACCAGATTTCTCTCCTCTTTATGGAATTTCTGGGATTTTTTTTCTTACATATACTTATTTATATGCATACCACTCACATGCATTCTACAGAGAGGATTGTACCCGCCTTCCAGATCTCAAATGAAGCAGCTATGATGCTTTCCTGCTATAAACAGAGCCTTTATTGATGTTCATATGAAAACCATTTGTTTTAATGCATTATGTATTGAGCTTCATAATCAGCTTCACACATTTTAACATTTTAAGTGTCTGTTGCAGTGTAGCACAGCTGAGGGCTATGTAAATTTATGTGCTATTATAAAAGAAAATATTTGATTAATAAATCAGACTGTATATTGCTTTATCTACAGTGAAGGCAGCGCTAGGAAGCCACACTGCTTCATTGGCAGACAGCCCTCAGGGTGGAGACAGCACCTCCCTGGTTAGAAACAAGCCACCATTTATAATCTTGTGACACTGTTAGAAAGCCTTTTTTTGCTTGCTTGCTTCTTTGTTTTTCTGTTTCTGAGTTGGAATCTTCCTCCATCACCCAGGCTAGAGTGCAGTAGCACGCCGACAGCCGCCCCAGTGTCGACCTGCTGGGCTCTGGTGATCCTTCCACCTCAGCTTTCCCAGTAGCTGGAACTCTAGGTGCATGCTACCACACCCGGCTAATCTATTTATTGTAGAGCCGAGGTCTTGCCAAGTTGCCCAGGCTGTTCTCAAACCCGTGGGCCCAGGCCATCCACTCACCTCGGCCTCCCAAAGTGCTGGGATTACAGGCTGAGCCACCAAGCCTGGCCTTCTTTGTTTTTAGATAGAGAGTTATTTGGCTTTTGAGAGCATAGATTTTTTTTTTTTTCTATAAAAAGTACAATTCAAGCCAGGCTCGGTGGCTCAGCCTGTAATCCCGCGCCTTTGGGAGGCTGAGGTGAGTGGATGGCCTGAGCCCGCGGGTTCGAGACCCGCCTGGGCAGCGAGACCTCATCTCTTCAATAAATCAAAAAATCAGCCGGGCGTGGCAGCGCATGCCTGTAATTCCGGCTACTCGGAAGGCTGAGGCGGAAGGATCGCCGGAGCCCAGCAGGTCGAGGCTGCGCTGGCCGGAAGCCGCCACTGCACTCCAGTCTGGGCGACAGAGTGAGACTCCAACTCAAAAAATTAAATAAAAAATAAATAAATAAATTTTAAAAAGTACAATTCAGCCAGGCTCGGTGGCTCAGCTTGTAATCCCGCACCTTTGGGAGGCTGAGGTGAGTGGATTGCCTGAGCCCACGGGTTCAAGACCCGCCTGGGCAACTTGTCGAGACCTCGTCTCTACAATAAATCAAAAAATAAGCCTGGCATAGTAGCGCACGCCTGTAGTTCCAGCTACTTGGAAGACTGAGGCAGAAGGATTGCCAGAGCCCAGCAGGTCGAGGCTGCGGTGGCCAGGAGTGGCTACTGCACTCTAGTCTGGGCGACAGAGTGAGACTCCAACTCAAAAAAAAAAAGTACAATTCTTCACTTTTTCTTCCTCAAGGAACTGCTCTTGTTAAGTTGGAGACACATTTGAGTATGGCACTTTGTATCTGTTTAACTTATTTGTATTGGTCTTGCCCCACATGCATCAAGCCTTCCTTGCATGTTCATGGTCTTTTTGTTAGTGCCAACTGCAATGATGTTGACTTTCAATGACATATAAGTGCACTGCAAGATTCATGAAAATGGTACGTACAAACAAAGGCTATTTTCTCCTGTTTACAACTTCTTGCTCCTGTTTACATTTCTGCATTATACACATTTTTAACCTCGCTTATTCATTTTTGTGCTTTACTTGTTACTACTTCCAGACGCCAAGAACTTACTGCTGTGCTAACACTGAAGACTTGGAGACAGTTATCCACCATGTACACAGCCTGTACCCTTCTGCTCCTTTTCTGGCAGCAGGGGTTTCAATGGGAGGGTAAGGTTTTCCCTTTCTAAAATACTATCTGAGAGAGAAGCGTTCTTATTGGCCGTCTCTTTCAGAGGACTATAAGCTCACTATGTAGACATTGTATAATACATGTCTGATTATTCTTATCCTATTTTATCACTTGTGGTGGAGTGAATGAAGGACCTAATTCAGGTGAATTTTAATATTTTCCTTGACTACTAGTCTTTGTGGTGAAAAGGATACAAGTACTCAGGGTTTTGTGAGCGTGAAGGCTTGTCTGAAGCCTGTGGAGTTGATTCGCATCATTCAGCGGCTGCCATGTTGACTTTCTGATTCCCTGGCACACTCCCAGCCGTCCCTGTAGCTGTGTGTGGAAGCTGAACTTGTAGCATGACTTTCATCACGCCAGTCACCAGAAATAATCATGTATTGCTCTCTCCAACTGCAGTGACCTTCAAAATTATTTTTCCCCAGGTGGTGTTTTGTTTTGTTATGTTTTGTTTTGTTGCTGGGCAAATGGACCAATTGTGGCGTGTGCTCCTAGAAACAGAAATGTTGCTTTGAACCCCTCAGTCCAGCTGCTGTTTTAAGTTATCCAATATTATAATTTGTGTTGCTTGCCATTACTTTGGGAGCTCATGTAGAACTTTTATATTTAGGCTTATTTCTACTATAATTGTTTGTGGATTTTTTGTTCTAGCGACAGTGAGCTTTTTCCAAATTTTTGTTGTCTGGCATTTCACTGTGCTTTTAGATTCCCTAAACCATTGTCCAAGACTGTTTGTTTAAATCAGCAGACACTTGAAAAAGAGAGTGATTTAAAAAAATTTTTTTTAATTGATTTATCTGTCCATTTCAGTTTTCAGAACATCTTAGGAGTCTATTCACTTGAAAATGAACAGCATTTACAATGATAAACTCTGAAAACTAGGCTTTAACCACAGCTTTTTAGATTCTGATAAACATAAAACTGAGAAGAAAAGAATACATTTCTTCCATTAACATGGAAGGTCTGACTTGACCTACTAAAGGAACAAATCTAAACCAATGCAGAAAACCCAGGCAGAATTTCTGAATTGTGCTTAATGGACAGAATTTAGCATCTCTTTCCTTTGACTTATAATGTGAATTTTAAAGGACAGGGTGAGAGCTAAACTTTTTTTCCTTAATCATGTAAATTCTTAACTTTTTTTTAAAGGTCAGACCTTACATAAACAGGCCCAGATTCTCTATTCAGAAGCTCCTGGGAAATGCCTATTCACGCTGCTTTGAAGCCTCAGTGCCTGAAGGCAGGACTTGACCGTTAGCCTTTACAGCTGGTTGAATATTAATGTCTTGTAAATTGTTTCAAAGAAGCACCCTTTCTGGTTGCCTAGCACGGTGACATGTTCCCAAGTGGGCTTACTGTTTGGGAATGTGTTTTACCTCCTGACACATTTTTTTCTTATGGAGATGCAACAGATAGAGGCATAGCCCGTGGAAAGTCCTTATGCCCAGTGCCCCATGGACTGGGTGCTCCTCAAGCACTGTGGTCAAGTGTGGACTTTGAGCCAGAACTACGTCTAGCCAAGGAACCCATGCCACACTAGACCAGTCAGATCCTAGCTTCCCAGTGAGCTGGTCAACAATTTTTTAAAAGTCTATAGAAAATTCCAACTATGTATCAAGAGTTAAAATTATCCCCTCATAAACTCAATGATCAGCTTTAATAATTATCAACTCATGGATGATCTTGCATCATCCTATCACCTCTATTACCCACTGCCTCCCAACTCTGATGATTGTGAACCAAATCTCTGGTATCATTTATAAATATTTCAGTTAATATCTCTAAAATGTAGAATCTATCTTTAAAAAAAAACAAATAAGTTGGGCATGGTGGCTCATACTTGTAATCCCAGCACTTTGGAAGGCCGAGGTGGGAGGATTGCCTGAGCCAAGGGTTCGAGTCCAGCCTGGGCAACATGGTGAGACCTCACCTTTACAATAAATCAAAAAATTAGCTGGGCATTTGGTGGCATGCACTTGTAGTTTCAGCTACTTGGAAGGCTGAAAGGGAAGGATTGCCTGAGCCCAACAGGTACAGGCTGTGGTGGCCGTGAGCATACCACTGCACTCAAGCCTGAGCAACAAAGTGAGACTCTGACTCAAACAAACAAGCAAAAAACCAAAAACCACAGTACCATTATTACAGTGGAATAAAATGAACAATAATGTCTGTTATCCAATATTCAGTCAGTGTGCACATTTCCTCAATTGTCTATCTATTTGTTTATTTTTATAGTTTGAGTCAGGAGCCAAATCAAATCTATACTTTGGGATTGGTATGCCTCTGTTTTTTCCTTTTCTTCTTTTTTTTTTTTTTGAGTCTGTCACCCAGGCTAGAGTGCAGTGGCATGCTCACAGCCACTGCAGCCTCCACCTGCTGAGCCCAGGCCATCCTTCTGTTTCAGCCTTCCAAATAGCTGGAATTACAGGCATGCGACACTCAGCTAATTTTTTGACTTCTTGTAAACATGAGGTCTTGCCATATTGCCCAGGCTGTCTCAAACCCCTGGGCTCAGGCAATCCTCTAGGCTCCACCTCCCAAAGTGCTGGAATCACAGGCATAAGACACTGTGCCAGCAGTATGTCTGTTAAGTCTCTTAATCCAGGGGTTCTTTCTCCCTTTCTCTCTCTCTTTTGTTTTTCTTTTGGTGGGAAAATAGGGTCCTTTTTCTGTCGAAATAAAATAACCTTAAGGGGGTAACATCTTGGCATTATTTTTCTGCTGAGAAATAACCAAGATCTATCCCCACCAACCTGGTCATGTCTAGTCATGGAGTTTCCTATGGCTGAGTTTCCCACCTATTAATTTAGATATTTTGTAGAGATGAGGTTTCGCTATGTTGCTCAAGCTGGTCTTGAACTCTGGGGCTCAAGCAGTCCTACCTTGGCCTCCCAGCATACTGGGATTGCAGGCATGAGCCACTGTGCCAGCCTTTTTTTAAATTTTTTTGAGTCAGAATCTTATTCTGTCACCCAGGCTGGGGTGCCGTGGCATGCTTACAGCCACCGCAGAAGTAACTGGAATTACAGGCACGCACTACCACACCCAGCTTGCTTATTGATTGATTGATTGTTCAGACAAGGTCTCACCAAGTTTCCCAGGCTGGTCTTGAACCCCTGAGCTCAGGCAATCCTCTCACCTCAGCCTCCCAAAGTGCAGGATTACTGACTTGAGCCACTGCACCCAGCCTATTTTTATTTGTTTGTTTGTTTGTTTGTTTGTTTGTTTAGAGTTGGAGTCTCACTCCGTTGCCCAGACTGGAGTGCAGTGGCCGCTCCCAGCCACCACAGCCTCGACCTGCTGGGCTCCGGCGATCCTTCCGCTCAGCCTTCCAAGTAGCCGGAACCACAGGCGCGCGCTACCACGCCCTGGCTGATTTTTTGATTTATTGTAGAGATGAGGTCTCACCAAGTTGCCCAGGTGGGTCTTGAACCCACGGGCTCACGCAATCAACTCACTTCAGCCTCCCAAAGCACGGGATTACAGGCTGAGCCACCGAGCCTGGCTTATTTTTATTTTTAAAATCTAGAGATGGGGATCTTGCTGTGTTGCCCAGGCTGGTTTCAAACACCTGTCCTCAAGCAACCCTCCCACTTCGGCCTTCCAAAGTGCTGAGATATCAGGCGTGAGCCACTGTGCCCTGCATATTATTTATTTATTTATTTTTAAAAGTAGAGACAGAGGTCTTGCTATGTTGCCCAAGCTGATCTTGAACTCCTGGCCTCAAGCAACCCTCCCACCTTGGCATCCCTAAGTGCTGGGATTGCAGGCACAAGCCACTGCCCCAGGCCAAGTCTCCCTTTTAACTCTACCAGCTTGTGCATTTTACCAGCCTCTGAGCAACAGCTGACCTCCAGCTAAAGAGTAAGGCCATAAAAACTAGGACCCTAGAATGAACCCTTTGCAGAAAAATAGACATTATCCTTTAAATGGCTCAGTTAACCACAATAATGTATTCAAGTGGTAGATAATCATTTTCAACGTCTCTTCATCTACTCGTCATCTAAAACTTCATTAAGAATTCACCCAGGCAATTGAAGAAATCAAGTCAAGAAAATTTTGAGAAATGGAATCAGGATATCATCCTTTCTCTCAGTTGGCAATGTTAAGCTCAGATTTTCAACATTGCTATGAAACACAGTTATGGTCCCTCTCAACAGAAATAGCGTAGAATCAAGCAAATTGATAGAGCAAAGAGAAAAGAGGAAGAAATACGTGATAGAAATAAGGACAAATAACAGGAAGAGAAAACATGTTACTTTAGGGGCCAGCTGTACTACCATGACTCAGGACGTCTAACTCTAGACTACCAGTCCCTTAAAGACATGCTACAGGGTGTAAGGATCCTAGATAACTAGCTTGGCCATCCTGTAAAGTAACCCAGAATCTCTCAGAGTGAGACCCAGACATCAGTTGTTATTTTAAAAACTCCCCAATTGATTCCACCGTGCAGTCACACTGGAAAACCACTCTTGGAGTGAATTTTTCTTGTGTTTTGCTTCATAGGATACATATATGAGGAATAACAGTGTGCTTTGTCCCAGTCACTGTATAGTTGACTGTATAAATGTAAGGCAAGAATAAAGACACTGCATGTTTTTCCAAGATAGAGGGCTTAAACATTCGTTTATAATTTTCTTCTCTATAATGGGAAATATGTGGTTAGAAATTGGATGTCTCAAGGGTTACAACAAATGAATCACTGAGTTTCCTGTTTCTCTTCATTTTAGAATGCTGCTTCTAAATTATCTGGGCAAAATTGGGTCCAAAACTCCTTTGATGGCGGCGGCAACGTTTTCAGTTGGTTGGAATACCTTTGCTTGCTCAGAGTCGTTGGAGAAACCACTGAACTGGCTGCTTTTTAATTACTATTTGACAACTTGTCTCCAGTCTTCAGTTAATAAGTGAGTCATCTGAAAACTGTTGTCCCCAAACATTTTAGATTACATGGCACAACAGTCAAAAGTTTTGTTTTTGCTTTTGAGTCAGATCTCTGTGCCCAGGCTGGAGTACATGGCATGCTCATGGCCACCGCAGCATCGACCTGCTGGGCTCAGACGATCAGCCTTCCAAATAGCTGGAATCACAGGCATGTGCCACCATGCCCAGCTAACTTTTTTATTTATTGTAGAGATGAGGTCTCACCAAGTTGCCCAAGTTGGCCTCGAACCCGTGGGCTCAGGCACTCCTCTCGCCTCCACCTCCCAAAATGCCACTGTGCCTGGCAGTCAAAAGTTTTGAAGCACAATACTATCAATATATGTATATTTATTTAAACTTTTTTTTTTGAGTCAGGGTCTCACTCTGTCGCCCAGGCTGGTGTGATCACAGTTTACCATAGCCTCCAATTCCTGGGCTCAAGCGATTCTTCAGCCAGATCCTCTTATGTAGCTGGCTAATTTTTTATTTTTATAGTGACAAGTTCTGCTGTGTTGCCTATGCTGGTCTCGAGCTACTAGGTTCAAGCAGTTCTCCCTCCTTGACCTACCAAGGTGCTAGGATTACAGGCGTGAGCCACCATGCCTGGCCTATTTAGACATTGTATACATTTACTATGGTACAAAAATATCCACCGTATTGTAAATGCATACAGTGAATTGTCTTGTATAATCCCTAAGGTGTGTGCCCTACTTTGAAGATCACTATACTAATCACTGTTCTAAATTATTCTAAAAGACTAAAAAGAGTAGTATGGAATGTGTTAAGTAATGTTATAGGCTATTTCTCTGGATTTTCTACTTGTTGCTAATCTTATCAGTACCTAATTCTTTTCCAGGCATAAATAACTTATTGTTTTCAGTGCTGAACAATATGGTTCCTTAAGCATGTGCTTATGAGTATAATATGTTTCAGAAATAGGAGAACACAATTTACGTAGATGGTCTCAGCCTTCATAGTTTTTTGTTTTGGGGGGTTTTTTTTTGAGTTAGGGTCTCACTCTGTCTCCCAGGTTGGAGTGCAGTGACATGATCATAGCTTACCAGTCTTGACCTTCTGGGATCAGGTCATCCTTCCACCTTAGCTTCCCGAATAGCTGGGTGTGCATGCCAGCACGCCTGGCTAATTTTTTCTTTCTTTCTTTTTTTTTCCGTCTATCTTCTAACAGTTAAAGTGGTATGGTAGCAAAGAACATGGAGCTATTTCTGGTTTGTTTTTTTGTTTTTCTTTTTTTGAGTTGGAGTCTTACTCCGTCACCCAGGCTGGAGTGCAGTGGCATGCTCACCGACCTGTGGGGCTTCAGCGATCCTTCTGCTTCAGCCATCCAAGTAGCCGGAACTACAGGCACGCACCACCATGCCCAGCTAATTTTTTTGATTTATTGTAGAGATGAGGTCTCAAACCCCTGGGCTCATGCAATTCACTTTCCTCGGCCTCCCAAAGTACTGGGATTACAGGCTGACTGTTTTTTTTTTTGATGACTAGTACTATGCACTTTTAAGTGAATTGATAAGCTTAAATATAAACTCTAAATAAAAAGTACGGTTAATTTATACGTGACTTATTGAAAATTATAGTTATCCTGAAAATTGACATTAAACATTGGACTAAAATTGTTTGTGAAATGACAGATTTTGAGTATAAATATTGCCATAAAAATACTGAAGAATCATCATTTCATTAATTATTCAAGGGGCCACCTGAAATAGGGAACAGTAGCAAGGAAACTGAAGAGTGATTTGAGTTAAAATATCAGTTGTATGAGAAAAATGACCAACTTTTTTTTTTAAGTTGCAAAAATAGTTCTAGTTTTAATGTAGCAATGTTTAAAATAATGTCTTTTTGTAAAACTTTTTTTATTTTTTGAGTGGGAATCTCACTCTGTTGTACAGGCTGAAGTGCAGTGGCACAATCATGGCTACCACAGCCTCGACCTGCTGGACTCAGGCTATCCTTCCAAGTAACTGGAACTACAGGCATGCACCATCACACCCAGCTAATTTTTTTATTTATTGTAGAGACGAGGTTGCCCAGGCTGGTCTCGACCCCCGGGCTCAGGTAATCCTCTCGCCTTGGCCTCCCAAAGTGCAGTGATTACAGGTGTGAGCCACTGCACCTGGCCTTAAAATAATGTCTTTATTCAGTTCCTATTAGAGCCAAGAAATTAATGTTTTTAAAAGTAAAAAGAATGTATTTGGGTAATTTATCCAATTGAAAGCTTTTTGCTTAGGTAAAACCTTTAGCCATATTTGTTTATTAGCAGCAGTGTGTAGGTACAATTTAAGAAACAACATATATTTTTATTTTTATGGAGTTGGCTCATTCTTCTTTAATTAAAAAAAATACTTTAGGCCGAGGTGAGTGAATTGCCTGAGCCCACGGGTTCGAGACCCACCTGGGCGACTTGGTGAGACTTCATCTCTATAATAAATCCAAAAAAAATTAGCCGAGCGTGGTGGCATATGCCTGTAGTTCCAGCTACTCGGAAGGCTGAGGCGGAAGGATTGCCGGAGCCCAGCAGGTTGAGGCTGCAGTGACTGGAAGCGTGCCACTGCACTCCAGTCTGGGCGACAGAGTGAGACTCTGACTCCAAAAAAAAAAAGTACTTTAAAAAGAATTGTTTTCAGATCTGGCCATCCTGGCTCATGCCTATAATCCCAGCACTTTGGGCAGCTGAGGCTAGAGAATCATTTGAGTCCAAGAGTTTGAGACTAGCCTGGGCAACCCAGTGAGACCCTGTTTCTACACAAATAAAATAAATAAATTAGCTGAGCGTGGTGGCATGTGCCTGTAGTCCCAGCTAGGAGGCCAAGGCAGGAGGATCACTTGGGCCCAGGAGCTGGAGGCTGCAGTGAACCATGATCGTGCCACTGTGATCCAGCCTGGGTAACAGAGCAAGACCTTGTTTCTTTTTTTTTGGTTTTTTTTTGGCTTTTTTTGAGTTGGAATCTCACTCTGTCGCCCAGACTAGAGTGCAGTGGCCGCTCCTGGCCACCGCAGCCTCGACCTGCTGGGCTCCGGTAATCCTTCCCCCGCAGCCTTCCTAGTAGCCAGAATTATAGGCATGCGCTACCACGCCCGGCTGATTTTTTTATTTTATTGTAGAGATGAGGTCTCGCTGCCCAGGTGGGTCTCGAACCCGCAGGCTCAGGCAATCCACTCACCTCAGCCTCCCAAAGGCACGGGATTATAGGCTGAGCCAACGAGCCCGGCTAAGACCTTGTTTCTAATAATAATGATGATGATAAGGATGTCTTCAGTATAAACATCATTGTACTACTGCTGCTGTATCTGATTAAGCAAATGTTTGCTGAGTACCAACTCTGTGCCCTGTGCTAGGCTGTTTAGTAATTAGTTGTTCTGTATTTTCAGTATGATTGAGTAGGAATGACCTTAACTTTTACTTCTGAAATTCTTTTGTTCCAGACACCGGCATATGTTTGTGAAACAAGTTGATATGGATCATGTCATGAAGGTAGGAGGGAAACTTTATGTGATACTTTTATTTCTTCTTTTGATTCCAAAAGTAGATACAATTTGTTCTTGTTTTTCAGGCTAAATCCATCAGAGAGTTTGATAAGCGGTTCACTTCTGTCATGTTTGGCTACCGAACAATCGATGATTATTATACTGACGCCAGCCCAAACCATAGACTGAAGTCAGTAGGAATTCCGGTGTTGTGTCTAAATTCTGTGGACGATGTTTTCTCACCCAGTCATGGTAAAAGTAACATCTTTGTAAATATTTTGACATGAACTAACTTTTAATGTTAAGAACTTTATTAATTTAAATATTTTTAAAGAAAATGCAGTAACAAGAAATAAAATGTGAGTCATGTGTTTTCCACTGTGATAAATTAAAAAAAAAAATACTAGCTACACATAACTTATTATCTAAATGTCTCAACTCACCTCTTTGTTTTTTTGGGGTTTTTTTTGAGTTGCAGTCTCCCTCTGTTGCCCAGGCGGGAGTGCAGTGGCACGCTCATGGCCACCACAGCCTCAAACTGCGGGACTCAGGCAATCCTTCTGGCTCAGCCTTCCTAGTAGCTGGAACTACAAGTGTACGCCATCACATCCTGCTAATTTTTTAATTTATTGTAGAGATGCGGTCTTGCCAAGTTGCCCAGCTGGTCTCAAACCTCTGGCTTCAGGCAGTCCTCTCACCTCGGCCTTCCAAAGTGAAATGAAGTGCTGGGATTACAGGCATGAGCCACTGCGCCTGGCCCAGCTCACTTCTTACACGTTTCACAGACCTTTATCTTTTTTTTTTTTTTTTTTTGAGTTGGAGTCTCATTCTGTCGCCTAGACTGGAGTGCAGTGGCCGCTCCCGGCCACCTCAGCCTCGACCTGCTGGGCTCCGGCAATCTTTCCACCTCAGCCTTCCGAGTAGCTGGAACTACAGATGCACGCCACCACACCCGGTTGATTCTTTGATTTATTGTAGAGATGAGGTCTTGCTGCCCAGGCGGGTCTTGAACCCGCAGGCTCAGGCAATCCTCAGCCTCCCAAATGCGCAGGATTACAGGCTGAACCACTGAGCCCGGCTCAGACCTTTATTTTATCCGTTGTGAGAGCTTCAGAACAAGTTATGACTCATTGTGTTGCTTGTTCTGATTTTTATGATCTTTCCTTCTTATCAATTACACTGTTCTTTGGACAGATTGCGTTACAGTATTTTTTTTTCAAGAGAACACTGTCATCACTTGCCTCTTCTTCCTGAGTTCCTCCACAGAAGAATTTGAAGTTTTTCTTTTCTTTTAACCTGGAAGAGAACTTGAGACTATAAACACAATGGGCTTAAATATCTCAATGAGTGGAACGTATTTGGAGTAGAAAGTCATATTTGAAGAGAAACAGTCTTTGCTTTCCCCCTGGAAACTGTATAAAAGAAAATTACTCAAAAACTAACTTTCCTGCTCTTTTAATTCAAGAAGTATAAAATTTGGTAACAAAGATATTTGTGTATATGTTCATACATTGAAGCGATATACATTATAAGCTTATATATAGGCTTATAAAGTGCCTATAATCCCAGGACTTTGGGAGGCCAAAGTGAGAGGATTGCCTGAGTCCACGGGTTCAAGAGCAGACCAGGCAACTTGGTGAGACCTCATCTCTACAATAAATTTTTTTAAAAATTACCTGGGCATGGTGGCACACGCCTGTAGTCCCAGCTACTTGGAAGGCTAAAGCAGAAGGATTTCCTGAGCCCAGCAGGTCAAGGCTGTGGTGGCCATGAGCATGCCACTGTACTCCAGCCTGGGCGACAGATTGAAACTCCAACTCAAAAAAAAAAAAAAAGAAGTAATCATGCTAACTTAAGAATCAGTAGACCTGACCTCCAATTTTTCCTAATGAAATTTCACAAAGTATTTTTTAAAAAGTTTTTGCCCCCTGCTTTTGCCCTAAATACTTTAAAATCATTTCCCCAAATACTTCATGTAAAAAAATTTTTCTAGCTGGGTGTGGTGACTCACACCTGTAATCCCAGCACTTTTGGAGGTGAGAGGATTGCCTGAGTCCAGGGGTTTGAGACCAGCCTGGGCAACTTAGCAAGGCCTCATCTCTACAATAAATAAAAAAAATTAGCCAGGGGTGGTAGTGTGCACCTGTGGTTCCAGCTACTTGGAAGGCTGAGGCGGAAGGTTCGCCTGAGCCCAGCAGGTCGAGGCTGCGGTGGCCATGAGCGAGACTCCTACTCAAAAAAAAAAAAAATTATTCTTTGAGCATAACATGTATTGTGAGAATTTCAGAAAATCCCCAAACTATATATATACATTTTTTAAAATTACCTATTATTTCTCTAGATGATCTCTTTTTTTCTTTTTCTTTTTGAGTTGGAGTCTCACTCTGTTGCCCAGGCTGGAGTGCAGTGGCACACTCATGGCCACCCTAGCGTCGACCTGCTGGGCTCTAGCAATCCTTCCGCCTCAACCTCCCAAGTAGCCGGAACTACAGGTATGGGCTACCAAACCTGGCTAAGTTTTGTTTTATTATAGAGACAAGGTCTCGCCAAGTTGCCCAGGCTGGTCTCAAACCCGTGGGCTCAGGCAATCAACTCGCTTCAGCCTCCCAAAGTGCTGAGATTACAGGCTGAGCCACCAATCCTGGCCAGGCGATCTCATTTTATTATGTGACTTATGATTAATCACAGGTAATTTTAGAAGGTGGAATTTATGACCTTTGACCGTGATTCAGAAAATGAAACTGTGAACTTTAATATCACTGAGTTATCTGGTGATTGTTTTAGCATATTTTTGTTGGATTAAGAAATTCTAGTATTTTCCCACCCATTTTTATATTTCACTGACCTTTCTACCAACAAAAAATTCCTAACATTTTAATTTGACCCACTTGAGTCAATTTAATTTCCTATTCTTTCCCAAGCATTTAACAGAGTCTTTACAATTGAAATAGTGGACAATTGTTGGCAGTCTGAGAGAACAGGCAGTCAGCATCTTTCACATGACTCAAATGTGACACAGCCTTTTGTTGTTCTGGTAGGACTGTAACTATCGTGTTAGAAATTTCTGAGTGTATCCAGAGTGTGAAATTGGGGCTCTTAAAAATTCCATTAGAAGCAAATGAAGCACTAAATAAAGCAAAAATATTATCAGTCTGGCCGGATCACACTAATAATCCCAGTGCTTTGGGAGGCCAAGGTGAAATGATCACTTGAGGCCAGGAGTTCAAGACCAGCCTGGACAATACATCAAGACCCAGTCTTTATTTTTAAATAATTAAAAATTAGCCAGATGTGGTGGCACAAGCCTGCAGGCCCAGTTTCTTGGGAGAATTGTTTGAGCCCAGGAGTTTGAGGCTGCAGTGAGCTATGATCTTGCCACTGCATTCTAACAAGACTCTGTCTCTTAAAAAAAAAAAAGAAAGAAAGAAAAAAGGCCAGGCGTGGTGGCTCAGCCTATAATTCCAGCATTTTGGGAGGCCAAGACAAGAGGACTGCCTGAGCCCGGAGGGTTCAAAACCAGCCTGGGCAACTTGGTGAGACCTCGTCTCAACAAAAAAATCACAAAAACTAGCTGGTCGTGGTGGCGTGTGTCTATAGTTCCAGCTACTTGGAAGACTGAGGTGGAAGGATCACCTAAGTCCAGCAGGTCGAGGCTACGGTGGCCATGAGCATGCCACTGCACTTCAGCCTGGGTGACAAGAGTGAGATTCCAACTCAAAAAAAAAAAAAGGTGTCAGTTGTTCCCCTTTATGTTCTATACACAATCCCAAGGTAGATATTCACTTTTAGGGGTTCTTCCTTGGGACAGATGCGACTACCTATGGACGCGAGTGCAGGATCACTTTTGGATGAGAACTTGGCTCTCCAAAGATCTCTCAGTTTACTCTTCAGAGTATGGTGGGGTCAGATTTGAAGCATTGTCTAAACATGCAAATTGTGGAAGGAATCCAGTTCTTTTCTGGTATATCAGCTTCCTTTTTCTCCACAAAAGGGTGTGGAGTAGGGAGCTCTTACCTTTTTTTGGTTTTTGTTTTTATTTATTTATTTATTTTAGCCAGAGTTTCATTCTGTCTCGCAGGCTGGAGTACAGTAGCATGATCATGGTACACCTCAGTCTTTTTTTTTGAGTTGGAGTCTCACTCTATCGCACCGACTGGAGGGCAGTGGCCGCTCCCGGCCACTGCAGCCTCGACTGCTGGGCTCCGGCGATCCTTCCATCTCAGCCTTCCGAGTAGCCGGAATTACAGGCATGCGCTACCACGGTCGGCTGACTTTTTGATTTATTGTAGAGATGAGGTCTGGCCAAGTTGCCAAGGTGGGTCTCGAACCCGTGGGCTCAGGCAATCCACTCACCTCAGCCTCCCAAAGGCGCGGGATTACAGGCTGAGCCACCAAGCCCAGCTTCACCTCAATCTTGACCTTCTTGGCTCAGGCAATCTTCCTGCCTTAGCCTCCCGAGTAGCTGGGACTGTAGGTATATGCCACCATGCCCGACTAATTTTTTTTTTCTCTGGAGACAAGGTCTCACTAAATAAGACAAGGTTGCCCACACTGGTCTTGAGCTCCTGGGCTCAAGCAATCTTCCCACTTCAGTCTCCCAAAGTGCTGAGATTACAGGTGTGAGCCACTGTACCCAGTCTGTTTTACTATATAAATCATATTTATAATTTTGAATCAATACAGCCACCAATTGGCCTCAGAAATTTAACATCATATTAAATTAATCAAAATCATGCATAATTAATGTATAACTCTCACAAAGGTGCTAAGATTAGTTTTTTCTCCCCCTGGTGAAACACTCAAGTAGGAATCTTACCGCATTATATAAGGTTTCACCATCCCTTCAATTCTCTTACTTTAATTTCTCAAAACAAGGCTTGGCCTATACTTTTATATTACTATTAAATCTTGGGTTGATTCTTCCAAAAATGATCATCTGGTATGTGACCATAAACATTAACTGTTATGGAAGTGGAGAGGGTTGAGATAAATTAAGCAAATTTATTCCATTTAGCTATATTCATTACAAATGTTTGTTTGAGCCAGGCTCGGTGGCTCAACCTATAATCCCATGCCTTGGGAGGCTGAGGTGAGTGGATTGCCTGAGCCCTGGGCGGTGAGACCTCATCTCTACAATAAATCAAAAAATCAGCCAGGTGTGGTGGCGCATGCCTGTAATTCCAGCTACTTGGAAGGCTGAGGCGGAAGGATCGCCGGAGCCCAGCAGGTCGAGGCTGCGGTGGCCGGGAGCGGCCACTGCACTCCAGTCTGGGCGACAGAGTGAAACTCCAACTCAAAAAAAAACAACAACAACAAATGTTTGTTTGATGGTGTTTAATTAATTAGAAATGAGAAAGATATGCACTTTTTCTAACAAAAACTGATAATGATCTTTTTCTCTCTCCTTCCTCTCTCTTACGGCCACTCCCCTCATCCCTTTTATTTTCTCAAGCTATTCCAATAGAAACTGCTAAGCAAAACCCTCATGTTGCTTTGGTCCTTACTTCTTACGGAGGCCATATTGGTTTTCTGGAGGGAATCTGGCCAAGACAGTCCACTTACATGGATCGTGTCTTCAAGCAATTTGTGCAAGCCATGGTTGAGCATGGACATGAACTCTCGAACATGTAGTTCTTCCAGTGCATTTTGTCTGAAGCACTGCTGTAAAGGCAACTCAGCTAGTGCACAAATGCTAACTGCTGTATGTAAAGCAAATAAGCCAGCAGATGGGTGAAGAGGTGCAGAATGATATGCAAAATGACTTTCTAGGGAAACAAGACAACTTTGTAGTCAGAAATTAAACATAATATTAGATTGTTACTTAAGTAGATTTTATTTTTACTATGCCTTACCAAGTATGACCTTAAACAAAGTAGTACATACATGAAATTGCACTTAACCAAAACTATCATGTAAAAAAATTGTAATTCCTCAGGGGTTTAATTTAGGCCCTTTTTTTTTTTTAGATTATTCATTTTAGATGACTTAATGGTACTTTAACTGTTAAAAGACTTTGGTTATTTGAATGTAAGTTATAAGGTAGTACCTTCCTAAGGATATTTATATTTAATGATGATAACATGAAAACTGAAATAGGATAAAACACAATGCGCTAAATCTTTTATGTATTCTAACTTTAAAAGGCAAGTGCAGAAATGTTAGACTGACTTCTCTACGTGCTGTTTTACTCTGAGAATATTAAATTAGGGCTGATTTATGTTTTATAATGATTATAATTTACATGCTTATTTTTAAAATAGTATATGTGCACACATACATATCATTATATTAAAATTAATTTTACTATTTTAAATTGTGTCTTTGTGGGTTTTTATCTCTAAAAAGTGATCCCTTCAGAAAATAAATCCTAGAAAGTAATCTATGATAACATTAAAACTGTTTTGCTTTACTGTTTCTGGAATTTTGAACTCACACCATTTGTACCAATTAAGACTACTTCCAAGCCGGGCTCGGTGACTCAGCCTGTAATCCCATGTCTTTGGGAGGCTGAGGTGAGTGGATTGCCTGAACCCGCAGGTTCGAGACCCGCCTGGGCAACT